ATATACAAGAGTAAGACTGTATTTTGAGCTATTATGCAATAGTCTCTAATCACCTCTAGATACACTATGCAAACGCACATAAATCAGGATAAAAATATATTTTTACATAAAATTAAAATAAGTTATTGTAGATGTTTGATTTTTTTTTTTAGTATATGATTTATTTTTTTTTCTGGTTTCAAGATGGCAACCCTCCTCCCAAAAGGAGTACTTCTGGGGCAAGGGGAGGGACTTTTGGTGGCAAAGGTCAAGGGCCCAGGGGCAGGACTTCTGGTCCCTTGGTAGCACCAGGAGGCAGAGCACCCATCAAGGGGCAGAGCTGCCCTTGCAGCCCTCGATAGCTCATCAAAACTCATAAAGCAGCCCTCCAGCCAAAATAATTGTCCAGCCCTCGCTTAAAGTGTAGAATTTCGTCAGCCCAGGACTACTTGTCTGAGTGAAAATTGCTCAGAGATTCTTGTGTATCAGTAGCCTGAACTTACACATATGTGCTTAACATGACAAAGGTCCACTGAAATCAAAGGACTAATGATGTAAGTAAAATGAAATGTGCTAGTGTTTGCAGAATTGAAACCGAGTGAATTTTCATTCTGGCTAGAACTGGACCTCATTGTCAGTGACTTGATAAACTGTGGCAAATCTGTATTTCTTTATCAGCTGGGAGGTTTCTCAGTACCTCACGAATCCTCTATATCAGCTGGTATGTTTTCTAAGTGAGCCTCAGGTGCTGAGTTAAAGGGTGCACCGGAAGCCAGGGTGTGAGTCAGAGTCAGGGAAGGGGTGCAGATTGGAGCAACACTGGAAAGCAGCAGGGAGTGGGAGTTGGGGGGCCAGTGCCAATTTGAGAGTTCGGCACTGTGGGAGGCAAATTCTGTGTTGCTACCTCACGTGGTAACAAGATTCAGCTGCACTGGGTAACAGCAGCAGCTGATCATTCAGATTGGCATTACCTTATACTTTGGACTTGTAGCACACTTGTCAAAAAGGTTGTACATCAGTTTTCTATATCAAGCAGGGATAACTGTTTCCTCATAACCTCTTATAAAAGTAAAAGATGAAATTAAATGTTATTTAAATACATTCTGAGTTTAATCTTTCTGGGCCTGATTCTGCCATTACTTCTGAGTAGTACCTCTGTTCCCAGTTGAACTACTGGAGAATGAGAAACTACTCACTGTAAGGAAAGTACAGTCTAGCCTTCTGGCACTAATACAGTGTCTGCAGTGGTAAATGTGTTTTTTCTTCTTACCGGCACTCAATGAACCATTGGCGTATCTGCTCTTGGAGACTTTCCTTGATATCAGGACCCTCCATTTCTCTCAAACGGTTCTTGATGGCTACCAGAGCTTTCTTGTATTCTTCGTCATGCTTCTCCTGGACCTCGCATCTTGTGGCTTCCACCCTCTGGGCTTGCATTAATGAAGCACTAATTCTATGGAAATGAGGAGGTGGGCTCTAAAAATGGAGAGAGAGAAAAATACTCAAAATAGAAGTTACAAATTAAAGAAATTTAATATAAATTGGAATGTGATGGTGATAGTGAGTATAAGCCTACGCCTTGTTTTATTTGTAGGAAATGAAAAAAAACAAAACATGCTCATAAAAAGTGGCTGGATGCATACAATAGTCTATTGTTAGTGTTTTTACATTAATTAAGAACATTGCAATGTATGAAAACAATCCATCCACCGTGGGATCCTGAGATCTCACCGAGACAGGTGAGAAGACTGCTGTTCAGAAAATGCCAACTTTATCCATGTCAGAAGGGTGCCAGAGCTTTTTTAATTGAATTTTCAAATGTTTGGACTTCCCATTGGTACTTTTTAATTAGCCGGTATTGTTTTTAATTTGTTCACTTAAAATTTTATATGCACTGTTTGGTCAGTTGTTTCCTGGTATTTTGTTGCAGCTGTGATATTTCTTTAGGAAATCTACTTCCCTTGAGTAAAAATAAATTAATAAATAAAAATACACTGCCAATAAAAATGCAGCCTTTCAAGTTTCCCATGAATTGATAACTCTGGCAAGAAGAAGGTGTCAGGCAGTAGAAAGAGATGCACATATAAACCAATAAACTCTGCTTTCTGATTGAAGTAATGTCAATATAAAAATGAAAGTCTGTTTTACTCATGCAATCGCAGAAGAACGAAAAGCAATCCAGGTGGTTAACCAAAAACGTAATTGGTTGTATTTTCTATTTTGTAGTTGCTTATAAGCTTAACATGTGTTTCTAGTTGTACATCATTAAGTATTTGATGCAACTTACTTTCCAATACAGGAAAAAATAAATACTTAGCTTTTCTCATATTTTGACGTTTTTAAAATACTTTATATCAGGTTTAGGAAAACTGAATAGAAGAATCAATGGAAAAAGGGGGTGCAGGGGGGAGCAGATACCTTCATGAATGTTTAATTCTCCTGAGTTAGTGTGAACAAAAATCTGAGTGAAAATAAATCCTACAATTCCTCCCCAAATTGGGCACATCACCAGAAACCTGATTCAAAAGCCATTGAAGAAATTCTCATTAATTTAGAGGAGTTTTAGGAACAGGTCTTAATCTCCCTAGCAGTGTGTTTCCTAATATAGTTTCAAGTGAGGGTCACAGCTCTAGCGAATATCAGTGAAGAGATACGGAGGTTTTTACTAAAGCATCAGCCAGCCTCTGTTCGATATATTTCATGTAATTTTCTTCAGTTTTGGACCAGTTTTGACAAGTACCCAGAAGAAAACCTTCCACATTCACTTTTATTTCAGAACATACATATTGTGTTTTATGGAATATCAGAGTATGCTTATAGGTCCAATTTAAGAAAGCAGCCACTTTTCCTGTATCTGCACTCTGTTGAGGTGATTTACAACAGATAAAGGAAATGGGCAAGACTACTCACAGAGCAAACAAGTATAAAAAAACTAGAAAAGCAATTTCCTGCTCCTCTTTTGGGAAGCTGTTCTGTATGTCCTGCACCTAAACCTGTTACCCCAAGACATTGTCTTCAGTCATTTTTAAAGTTCCATAGAAATTGAGCTCTTCCACTCTATAGTAGGAAGCTTCATAAAATACTCCACAATAAATATTAGTCCTAATAATTATTTACATTTTCTTCTAAGAATATTTATGTCCTTCATTACCATTAAACAAGCATCTGAGTACCTCTGTGTAGTAGGTATTTTGCTTCTTTCTCAGTACTGTTCTGTTTACAGAGCCAGAAGTGACCCCAGAACTCCTGTCTCTCAAATCCTGCTCTGACTACCAGACTAACTCTCCTTAAACAATGTCAGAAATTAAGAAAGACAAGTCTCTTCCTAGAATTTCTCCAATAGCTCCCATCAGATAGACTTGGTTGGATCCTCACTGGAGGTTATTTTATTTAGAGCCATTTTTTATTTCTCTTAGTGTTTCCAGTCCAGGATTAATGAGAAGAAGGAATCAGAAGTGTATTCAGGGATGCTTCTTGGAATGAAGGGAGCTGGTAGAAGAGAGGGGACGTAACTGTTTCTTAATGAGCAGAGAAGCATAAAGAATTGAGAAATGGAGAAGCCCACCAGCTTTTTCTGCCCTGGGCAACTTACTCAATATCTCTCTTTGTAAGGAATGATTCCCATGTTACGGCATAAACCAGCACTGCTAGGACTGAGGTTGGTCCATGGGTACACAGTAAAGCAAAAGGTGGAGGGAAACTAATACAGGATGGCTGCATCTATACATGCATTTAATTTTGGAGTAGACTAATTAGCTGCAGAAAAAAAGCATCACCATCTACATGTGCACTGGTGTTAGGCTGCACCAAACTAATTAACGCTGCAGTGAGATAGGAAATTACCCCAACAGTACTATGTTTAAATGCACGTGTAGATGCTCACCATGGGTGTAAATTGAACTCAGTCAGCCCAGGCAGCTGGGAGCCAGACTCCTCCTGCCTGCCAACCTTGTTATACAACTCCACACTTTCAGCATCCTTGTACCCCAGCCAGCCCCTCTGCCACCACCCAGAGCCTGGGGCTAACCCCC